TGCCGCTGGTGAAGACCTCTCCCTCCCTCTCTATTTCTCTCTTTCGTTCTCTCGTGAGTCCCGTTGCGTGAGAATTTTCCCCGCCCGCCTTCTCCTGCCGCGTCGTCTTCTCTCGTCGAGCACCGCTCGAGCGACCGTGGCTGATCCAGTCGTGAACTTCGTCAGATATCTCGCGCGTTAATGAGACAGCGAGTTCTCGTATCGACGACGTAACAGCAGCGAGGAATGAAGTCGAATCAGGCTAATTGCCTGAATAATCGCTTCCCTCGTTAACGCCATCGTCGCCGCGATCTCCGCGTTGACGTCTGTCCGGACCTCGCGACTGCTTACCGCGGAATGCGCCGAGAAAATGAGAGGTCGCCAAGTGGCCGATGTCGCGGTCAGCATTTAGCTCACTTGCGTCCTGCGATATCGGTCGCGGGGAGTGCTGCTGCACCTCTCTCGCGGAGACGTCACAGCGGGAACACAACGGTCACGCATTCGCGCGACACGCTCTGGGATTATTACCTAATGTAGCGAGCGGCGAGCTCGCTACACGTCGTTCTTACGTAACAGCCGCGAGATATCTTGGACAGGTGTGAACTCGCGGTTTCATGCGAGATGCGTCCCCTTCGCGTCTCTTCCGGCTCGAGAAGGCAGCGCTCTCTCTCTCTCTCTCTCTCTCTCTCTCTCTCTCTCTCTCTCTCTCTCTCTCTCTCTCTCTCTCTCTCTCTCTCTTTCTTTCTCTGCCCCCTGTTGCTCCACGTCGTTTTCCACGGGTCTCTCGAGTCACGGCGGCTGGTCGCCGAGTTATATTCGGGATAAAGTGATAGAGAAACGAGATCACCTCCACGCGCTCTCTGATCATTAGTCGCAGGTAAATACATCACCGTCTCCAACGACTGTCATGAGCGACCGATGATGAGTGGACAATACGGAGAAATGCACTGATAAAAAACGCGTCTCGCTAATTTGTAATCGTGCGAATTTTCCTGTCGATAATCCCGGCCAGTCTCTCGATAACACTGGGTGATTCATCGATCGCCGGTGATTGTAGATCAGAATTGTAAATCGGTTGAGGCAGCGACGAGGAAATCGCGAAGCTGAGCACGCTATTATATCATCAGGTCGATCATCAGGAAGTTTAATGACGAGCCCTCTTAGCCTCCAAACGTCTTTACAGCGCGATTCCATCCTTTCTACCATGCATTTTTCCTTTTTTCTTCCTTACTCATTTTTCGCGTATCTCGAAGAATGAGATACATAGGCGCTGTCGAAGGCCGCATTTTTCCGTGATCGATCTCACCTTGTCGTAAAATCGGGAACGTCCCGCTGTACTTCCGCCGTCGAATGCGCGAGAGACTGTCATTCGCTTCGCTTCGCGGATTACGATGGGATCGTCGTGAAAGTATTTCGCGCGTGACTCCGTCGACACGCATCTCCATGCATCTGCGGCCAGGGTATTGATGGAAGGGAGGGGGAGGGGGAGGGACGATCGTTGAAGGAGGCATCGCGCGTGAATCGCGCACGAGCGCGAGTCTTTGAATTATTATATAACGAAGTGCCGTGTCATACAAGAGAGTAATTGAGAGTAACGCGGAGGGAATGAGAAAGGAAAGACACGTGAGCGAGAGAGAGAGAAAGAACGAGCGAACGAACGAACGAACGGACAGACGGACGATCGAGAGGCGACGTTCGCCTCACGCAATAAACGCTGAGACGAGCCCAAGGTTGTCGTGACGTACATCGCGCGATTGCATATGCATCGGGACGGAAACGTAACGCATCCAGTGTTATCGTAAATTTTGTAAGCGCAATCTCTGTCAGACAAATCCTCTCGCCCCCGGCGACCTCATGTACGCGGCGAGATCTTGATCGTCGTGGCGGAAAATCGTCGCGCTAGCCTGTTTATTCGCCGAGTGATAAATTCGCGGAGCGTGATTTATCGTTATTATGTCTGCGGGATGTTGTCGAAGTATATTTTCCACAATTTCTCATATCGGCGAGCACGCGCTCTCGGTGATCCGGCCGGACGTCGAGGGGGAGCGAGCGCGAATGTCGATGCGATCAGCTTCTCGCGATCTCGGAGTCGAGACTTCGTGATCTTTCGCAACGTCAATAATCTCCGCCGCGGGAAGAGTCGTCGCGGATGCAGAAGCGCGCGCTTCTAATTACAATCGCGCTCGCGCGATTATGAAGCTTGCCAGCTCTCGCTCATGTTACTTTGTCGTCGCTCGGTCGACTTCGACCGAGAGGACACTCCGCGAGTTCACTCCGCACGAACGGAACGAACGAGCGAGCGGACGGCAACCTCGGGCGTGCGCGGGAGAATTTTGCAATTAAATACCGTTTAATTCCACGACACAGAACGCCGCGATTACCCGCTTCGCGAGTGTGGTCTCGTCCGCGACCGCGGCGCGCAACCTGTCATTACTTCCATTTATATCGCTCGAATTTGTATCCCACGCACGCGCAGCTTTCCCCAAGTTCACGCACGGATTGGGTCGGATATCAAGATGTATGGATAAATAAATCAACGGTAAACGAAGTAGGAAATAAAATGAATGAATGAACCTCGCCGCGTTAATTAACCTTGGACTGTGTTCTAATATTCGATCAAACTCGAAAAGCGATCGAATCGATCGCCGAGCGTTTTATCTTAATACGCGCTCAAAATATACTCTCTCGTCGAGTTCGCGTCGCTACGTATCGTTGTTCACTATCAGTCAAGGGCGAATCTCCGAGCTGCTCGATCTGCTGGAGGCCTGACGTCTCAGGACCACGTGGGATAATCGACGTCGCTGCGTGCCGCTGTTAAACAGCCGGCACGAGGAAAGGCACGTGTCCCACGTGAATGCGCGACGACGTTGTCTCTCCCGCTCTCTCACGTTTCCGAATTACCGAGCGGCATTGATTACATTGTGGCTCTTAAGATATTGATGTACTTGACGTGCACCGCAACACAGAATCGGCCCCGACGACGCGCCGGATAATATCGACAAGTCGAATGGTAGACTATTACGGAGCTGTCTGGCGCGTCTCGCTTTTATTCCCCACGCTTTGCGGGTAAACGCAAAATGGGACGAGAAAGAAAGAGAGAGAGAGAGAGAGAGAATGTATATGTGTATGTGTGTGTGCGCGCGATTCGCTCGCCGTTTGCGAAATTCCCGAGGAAGACCTTACTCGGTGAATTCCAGCGCGGATTCTCTTTCTTCGTAAACAACCCGCCACTTCCGGTGGCGCGCGTACGATGGATAGATACGCGACAGAGAGACGCGACGGTGCGGGCGGAGCTGGGGGAGTCCCCAAAACGCGCGCAGGCTTCTCTCGGTGAAATTTGACCGTCATTGCGTGGATCATGAGGATCTCGATCGAGGTCGCGAGGAAGACGGCTGGGGAGGAGGCTGGTAATGCTAGCGCGGTTTATTCGCGATCAAAGTAATATGTCCGCGCGGACTTCTCGATACTGACAGACGGATTACGCGAGAGGCGTACCGTATTATTCCCTGTGGCTCTCGTAACGGTAAACCTACGGTCCTGAATAGCGAGAACGAGAAGAAGAGAGGCGCGCAATCGCGGGAAAATTAAATAGACGAAGAGAGCTCGCGCGAAAGCTCTCCTCGAGGAGAGCTCGTGAGCAGCAAAAGACGAAGACGACTGTGAGACGTCGCCGCCGTCGACGTAGTCGTCTTCAGGTTTGCAGTCGCGGAATCGTATCGCGCAGACACGGAATAACGTGTGCAATCATAATAACGTGCCCCTAATATTTCAGCGGCGTTTTCTTTCGTTATTGATGTTCGCAGTTATATCTGTAATAAGCAGAATGAGAGAGGAGGGGGGGGTGGCAGGAGAATGATGACGAAGGGATAGAGAGGGAAACGGAGTGCCGGTTCTTCAATCGGAGTCTCTCTCTCTCTCTCTCTCTCTCTCTCTCTGCCTGATGGACGGGTATAATCGGTGTTCTCCAGCGCGACACCGTAAGCACGCACCGCAACTTACGCACCAGCTACGCTCTCGCCGGCAGTTAATTCGATTCGCGGTATAAAGCTGCTCGCCAAGATCGTTAGCACGGGATCGAATGTCAGCAGGTGCCGCCGATCACGAGCGATAGTCGTTGGCAGGTTGAATTTTTCTGCCGTGAAGGACGCTACATTCCTTTATTATCTCGATCTGCCTTTTCATTGTCAATTTTGCTGTATATTCATGCGTCTTGTCGAAGGAACGAAGCGAAAGCTTCGAGGATCACGGAGAGGAGACCTCCTTCAGTCGGCGAAAAAGAAAGAGTTCGCTCGCACGCGATCTCTTTCAAGACTGCATTAACGCTCAACAGTTTGGAGCATTCTGTAATTTCGCGATAAGAGCAAAAGAAGATAATTGTACTTTTGTGAGACACAACGTACGGCTTGATGTAAAAATGATAAGGCGCTCGAAAGTTTCGAGCGGTAGCGTGTGAGAACTTTGGTATTACGTGAGATTCAGGACAATTTGAAAGTAAAATCTGAAACGCGGATGATGAAAAGGTAGCTACGTATATATACAATAATAGCAAACACTGAAAAAAGAATAGACGAGATGTCCGTTCTCGCAGATTTTCCCGTATTTAGCGTTAAACGCGCGGTCGTTTCGGTCTCATCCTTTATTGACGTGCTAAAGCGCGATCCTCTAGCACGAGACAAGTAGAAAATTCAAAATTAGACTATCACGGATTTAGCGTTAGACGAATAGACGCGACGAATAAACGGACAACGGTAGGTTATTCATACGTTTCCGTGTGAATAAAATCTGAAACATTTCTTCACCATCCGACGAGAGGTCACACACACACACACACACACTCTCTCTCTCTCTCTCTCTCTCTCTCTCTCTTTCTCTCTCTCTCTCTCTCTCTCTCTCTCTCTCTCTCTCGACTAAACGACGGAAGAATTATGTCTTGCGCCGAGCGCAAGAGTCTATCTTAGGAACTCGGGTTTTCTTTCTCAGGGTGTATCATAATCATGCGATCTCTCCGTTCCCATTTGCAGGCCTAGCCCGGGCGGTGTCGGTGACAACGGTGTCCAGGGTGTTCGCGGCAAGGGTCTGCCGCACGTGATTTACTGCCGACTTTGGCGCTGGCCGGATCTCCAGTCGCATCACGAGCTGAGAGCGATCGAGCACTGCGAGTACGCCTTCACGCAGAAGCGCGACGAGGTCTGCGTGAACCCTTACCACTATCAACGAATACAGCCGCCAGGTAAGCCGCAGACGGCAGAATGGACAGGTGGTGGAGGATAACGAATCATCCATGTATGCCTGTGCGGTAATATCGTTCGTCTCCCTCTCTCGT